TCCAAGACGTTTACCCAGAGATGTTAAGGACTGCCCCCTGGTTAGTTAACACAGCCACCTCAGCTGCTTTGCCTTCAGTTACAGCTGAGCAATGAGAGTGGCTTTGCAGATTAACATACGTAATGGCACCAGAGGCAGGGAGGTGACAACTGCTCTGGCCTCCTCCAGCTCCCTAGGAGAGGCTGGGCAGGCACTGCCAGAGCCAGGGGCTGGATAATCCACGATGCTTAGTCTGGATTTAGACCCATCCAACCTGGCCTTGAACACTGCCAGGGATGGGGCAGCCACAGCTTCTCTGGGCACCCTGTGCCAGCGCCTCAGCACCCTCACAGGGAAGAATTCACCCCATGCCTCTAATCAGGCACAAGGAACTGAGCTGGCACAAAACCTGGAGCGCAAAAAGGAGCAAGAAGCTCTTGAAAGACCTACCTGGGATGTATGGAAAGAAGAGCAGTGTTTGTAAGGAGGCAGCTGGCTTGTGAGACATCTGCTGGCAGTACCACACATCAGTGAAAATAGGATGTCTGGCGGCTGTAGATGGCACTTTATGGCCTGTACGATATTGTATGCAGCATATGGTAACTAGTGAGACCTCCTGAGGGTGGCAGAGTTATTGACTGCTGCGCTGGAAGCTGGCAGTCGTCTGACAAATAGTGATGATGAACTGATCACATTAGATGATCCTTAAGGTCCCTTCCAACCCAAACCATTCTACGATTTTCAGCAAGCAGGGAAACTTTTAAAGGCAGACCCAGCACTTTGCACAGTAACTTCACATTAAATTAATGGCAAGAACTGGATGTTGAGAAGCTCCTCTAAGTACCTCCAAGTCCTGTGGGATCTCCGCCTGCACTGTTCTGTTTGCTCTGTTTGTCCTGGGTTCCCCTTTCCCAGACTCCAGCTGTTCCCCGTCAAAGCCAGAGAAGCTGCCCTGATTATCACCTTCGCTGGGATGTGGATTGGGAATCTGACTTTCCACTTACACCGGCAATTAGAAGGCTGCCCTGAAAGGCAAAGTGTCAGACACTCTTGGTAGGAGTTTGTGAAATGCAAAGGGGTGGGGGAAAGAGAGAGGAGAGGAAATAAGGTCTCAGCAGCAGGGTAAAGCTGCCACTTCGCCTGGATTTTGAAAGAAAATGGGAAAGCAGCCTTGGTTCAAATGGAACCATGGAAGGATCAGACAGGGCAATGTCACTCAGCTAGTGGTGATGTTTAATATGGCTTGAAACTTCTGTTCTCTCTCCTAAAATGTAATGATAATGGAGAGAAAGTGCTGCTATCCTGCACAAGACTCTCTCATGAGAAAAGCTTTTGTCAGACCAACAGATTTCCTTGTGTCCAGGTCCATTAAACACTGCAGGATGTCACAGATCATCTTGTGAGCAGTGCCATGAGGGCAAGTCAGAGCTCACGCTTGCTGTAAGCTGTAACTCAGACATGCTGCCACTGCCAGCACCTACCCAAGAGCTTAACTTTAAGCCTGGGACTCACAGGCTGCTGAAGCCCTTGATGTGAGCAGCACCCCCTCCTCCCCCGAGTGCCATGTGGGTGCTCTGCACTGTCAGTAGCGCAGGAGGATCCCAGTGTTCCAACACTGGGTTTGCCTCTACACTTTCGGACATAATTTCTACCTATATGTATTTCACTACACCACTGCGCTGCTCTTCAAGGCCAGGTTGCTGAACCAGCTGAACCACGCTGGTGCCAGGTATGTAAGGTGCTCTGCCTTCCCTCGGAGAGACTGGTGCTGCTCAGACGGGAAGGATGACGTGACAGCTCCACAGCCCCTGTATGCACGACAGGTTGTACTGATACAAAAGCAGTGAGGAGCACGCAGAAGGTATCACAGCAAACACAGCCAGGATGGAAGGTGACAGGACATAATCTCCCACAGCACGGGCTGGTGCTTGTGTGAGTGCTGCATCCACAGCATCCTGCCAAGGGGTTTGTGCTGTAGAAATCTCTAGAGCCTTCCCCACACCCTGGACATGGGTATTAGTGATGCCCAGCCCGGTGTGCAGCCACCCAGGCTTATGGTGGCTTATAGCCACCATATCTATGCTCATAGCTCTATAAATCACCTCTTCCCCAGGCCTCTGCTCTGTGCTTACCACCGGCCTCATGGCCCTGGATGGAGCCCCAGAGTAACACTGGGTCTCCTTGGCCACTGCATCCCGCTCCCCATCTCCCCACATCACCCACATCCACGTGGACCCACCACTCATTTTTAGGTACCTTGTGTCCATAGGACAGCAGAGCAAAAGGGAGCCTGGAACAAAGCAAGGGGAGCCAGACATGGTGCACGATTCTTGTGGAGGGCAGCATAAGAGGGGTCAGTCCTTGTCCACCCCTCTGGTCCTGCTGTCCATCCCTGCTGCGATGCTCTGCTCCCTGCTTCCCGCAGCAGCCTGATGCTGACTGCACTAGATGGGATTTCTCCCAGGCCTGGGGGTGATGTCTGGAGCCCAAGTGCTGGAGGGCAGCAAGGGTTAATGCTCTTAATTCTCAGGCAGGAACCAGATCAAACACTTTCTTCCCCAGGAGCAGTGCAGGTAAATCATTGGCTTTGTTCTTCAAAAGATAGCTGAGCTCATGGCCTTCAGGCTATGCCTTGCCCTGCCCCAGCCAGTGGAGAGGAACTGGGGCTGAATGCCAATGCCACTAAGATAGATGCTCCATAGTCATGAGAAGGAAATGGCTAATGATCAATCTGGCTCACCCAATTCTGATTGCAGTAAGCCATGGTGCTGTAGCTCAGCGCTGGTGACTGGTGAGTCTGTGCTTCTGCCTTCTTCTCTCCCCTTAAAGCTCTTCTTTCACCACAGACATTTACACAAGTGAAAGGTGCCCAGCCTACCAACAGGCCAAGATGATTGCAGGGATGCCGGGGTGGCCTCAGAGCCAGAGTCCTGCAGGGCAGCAGGGACACTTGACATCCCAGCCTTCCCAGTGAGAGACTCAACCACTGCTAGTCCAACAGGTCTCTCTTTTTGCCTGGTCCATGGCCCACGGCCACCCTGTCCAGCCAGACAAACTCATTTCAGAGCCCTCCCATCAGGTTCAGGCATGGCCTCAGGGACCACATCCCACAGAGATGGACAGCAGTGACCTCTTCGTCCCCAGAGCCACTTGCCTCCTGAGAAGTCTAACACGAAGTATGGAAATCATTTTCGTTGGTGACACCCTGGTCAACAGTTCAGTACAGGTCAAAATCCATTATCATTGCATCTTTCCAGGGGACGCATTGGTCAGATGTCATTCCGTAAGGAACGAGCAGGGTTAAAATGCTTCACTGGGAAGGGAGGAGCAGGAGCCACTCATCTCTTCCTGCACTACAGCTCCAGGTGATTGCCTGCAGGTTCTGGCACTGCACTGCTGCAGCTCACACCCAGAGCATCCTCTCTTGCCTGTCATAGAATCACAGAATAGTTAGAGTTGGAAAGGACCATAAGATCATCTAGTTCCAGCCCCCTGCCACAGGCAGGGACACCTCACACTAGCATGTTTCTAGGTTTTGTCTTTAAGAAAGCCTTGGCTTAACCTCTGCAGCAGCTCAGGGAGTGGCGTGGATTCAGCCCAGTGCCAGTCCCTGCCTAGGTACACGAGCTTTGCCAGAAGCCGGCAGGATCACACAGGTAACTGAGAAGAGCTGTTACTGTGTGTATCTTTACAGGAGCTGGGCACTGGGGTACATTCAGAAACATGACAGATTTTTTTCCCCTCCGCTTTAATACTTAAGAACAAATGTAAGCAAACACATGGCTACTTTAATAATTGTGGTTTATTGTTGCCTTCAGTTTGTAAGCACACAAAACTTGGAAAACATCCCTAAATTGAAATAACGGTAACAGACAACCAGAAAAATAAAGGTCTGATTTCCTGGAGTAAAGGTTTGACTTGATGATCTTAAAGGTCTTTTCCAACCTAGTTGATTCTATGATTCTATGATTCTACAAACTGTTACTTGTGTGAGCAAACCTAAGTCCTACTATTCCCATTGACTTCAGGACTCTAAATTGTGCCTGAAACTCTGCTAAGCCCATGGAGCAGAGGCCAAAAAGATGATTCTTTGTGTCCCAGGTAATATTTTATGTACATGTATATGTGCATATGGTACATACATGCATATCTATGTTCCTTTGAGCTCTAGGCAATATTTTATGTACATAAATGTATGTATGTAGACAATATGTATATAACCAATATGTGTGTAGACAATACATACATATATTTATATACTATATATATGTACATATGTATAGTACATATGTGTGTGTGTATACAATATATACATGTAAGTGCTTCTGCTCTCCATTTCACCACAAACATGACTTGGACAGACAAGGACCAAACCCAGGAGACTAAAAATGAAAAGCTGAATGCATGTGTTGCTTCTTCACCTGGTCATGATCATTCCTCCTTTGCCTGTAGCTGTTTGCAATACTCTGGGGTAGGGACTGCAATACATTGGACGCAGGTCCATCAAACCCATCAAGGGGTTAGCATCAAGGGGGCCCTAAGAAGCACTAGGCTCCACAGGTACCCCTCACATAGGTATACATGAAGATGGATGCTCCTCTGAGCCCATCTATATGGACAGTGGCTTTAAGTGCATCCTCTCTGCAGGGTAGCGGGGCGCATGCTGCCCCTTGCACACAGGTATCTGGGGGTCCCCCCAGCACCTTTATCACTCCCCCTGCGGCTACAGCCTGGGGTGTCTTTGGGAATGGCAGTGGGGAGCCAGGCCCTGGGCAGCACCCCCAGCTGGCCCCACACCTCACACCAGCGCCATGCCATCCGTCACTTTAAGTGCATCCTCTCTGCAGGGTAGCGGGGCGCATGCTGCCCCTTGCACACAGGTATCTGGGGGTCCCCCCAGCACCTTTATCACTCCCCCTGCGGCTACAGCCTGGGGTGTCTTTGGGAATGGCAGTGGGGAGCCAGGCCCTGGGCAGCACCCCCAGCTGGCCCCACACCTCACACCAGCGCCATGCCATCCGTCAACCGTAGCCGAAGTGGCGCAGGGCAGCGGGTGCCTGCAGGCAGCCCCCCGAGCAGCGGTAAGCCTGGTACCCCGCCGGCTCGATGACCCAGTGCTGCGCCCAGGGGAGCTCGCGGAAGTTCACGTAGTGCTTCTGCCGGCAGCAGGTGGATCTCCCCTTTGCTGCCTCCTCCCTGCAGTCCCCGGGGCCCCTGTGTGCCAAGGGAGAAACAAGAACTGATGCTGTAATTGGGAACGGGGAAGGTGGGAGAAATAATCCCCCACTGTTAATAAACTGGGCCATGCTGGGGTTTCGTTTGAACATGCAGGCAACAAATATGGGAAGAGGAAAGGTGTGATTCCGCAGCAACGCTCTAACTCCTCTAGTTTTACTTGTGAGGGCAAGAGCTGCAAACCCTGTGTTGGCACAGTAATTCTGGGGCAGTGTTACACTGGAGACAGTACAGATTTAGACTTCATACATACCCATAGTCTTCCAAGTCGAGGGTGTAAAGCACCAGTTCAGGTTTGCTTAAGGCTTTATCCTTGGGGTCCTGAGAGGTGAAACGCACGGCTTTGGCCATTTCAGAGGCATAGCTGCCTATCCTTTCTCCTTCAATCCAGACCTCCAGGAACATTGGCTCCCGCCTCTTGTTTCGCAGCCAGTAATGCACAGCCTGTGTCACATCAAAGTTCTTCCAGCCAGACTCACGTATAGGGACCAGCCTGCATGACAAGGGCTTGGCATTAGAGCAAAGCCCATCACACAAAGCCCGGGCTCGCAGCGCTGTCACTGCAGCAGAATAATTTGCTCCCCATAGATAGTCACATGCCTTGATTACATGGTAATTTTTGCTGAGCACTCTGGTGAACACAATAGCAATTAACACACACCTCAGAAGGGAGCATGTGGATCTAATAGACACTGAAGGGCCAAATAAACCCCCCTGTGCATGTTCATGTCAAGGTATTACTTCATGCTCACACAGAAATACGGCAGTGCAGGGTTATATGCAGACTCAGGATTAGTGAGGCTGGTGAACACCACTATTCCCACCTGCCCCTCTCCTAGCTGCATTAGGGCTGTAAGTTTCTACCCAGCTAGAGAATTGGTTTGATGTCTAATTCTGCCTTCAAGGGCTGTAAAACTTCCACAGAGCTCAAGGCTACAGAATCAGATGCTTTTTGCATAGTTTACATATGGAAACCAGGTAATGAGATGGTCAATTGAAAGAATATCAGCAGCCAGTGACCCATGTGAGTTAGAGAGAGGGAGGGAAGTGAACCAGGTGGAGGGTTTTAGAGGGGAAGATCTGGCATCGTTTGACACAGAAATAGATCATTTCACTGAAATATCACATATTGCAGTCTCAACCTAGTATCTGCTCTTACAAACTCAGAGGCTATAAAGCCTGATTCTACAAATGTAACCCCATCAGACTGACCAGAGGCACAAACACATGACACCCAAACCCACCCCAGAGGATCCATACCCTGTAACTGGAGTCCTGCCTTCAGGAGAGGTCCCTTTCTTACCTGGAGTCTATCAGGGAGGTCCTGTTGGTTCCATCGTGCTGCCGCTGCACCCAGTACACGCTGACTCTGGCGTTGGAGACGGGCCTGTGAGACTGCCTGGCAGGCAGGTTTGCTCTGTCCAGAGGCTTTTTGAAGAGTTTCAGCTCAGCCATTGTCACTTCACTGTTTTGAGGTATTCTGCCCTCCATGTCAAAGATCAGGTTCTGGCGTGCGGTGGTGTCAGAGTAGAGGACTTCTCCTGCCAAGGAACAAACCAGACAGCCTGTCATCGCCATCCCGGTGAGCAAAGCCCCCACACTTCATCCACTGTTACCATCACAACACACTCCTTCCATGCTTCTGCATCAGCCCCTGTTGTCAGAGACAGCCACTAAACACACCTTTCCTAATGCATACTTGAATCAATGTCTTGCAAATGCCCTAAATCTTCTATGTCTGAGCCCCTGGAATCTGGAGGAAAGAAATCTCCTATATCATTTGACCCCAAATTAAGTAAACCCCAAAAGGTGTGCACCTCTTTGTGCCAGCACTGGGCACGAAAGCAGGAAACTGCCTCAACTTGCAATGAAACAGTGTTTTCACTTGCTGCCACTTTTGAAAGTGAAACAAGCTCCAAGTGTCCTTGTACAAACACCATGATGTCTGCACAGCTGATTTCCAACTTGCTATTCTTCCCAGACAGCCAGAAACAAAACAAACCAAAACCACAGGGGAGAATGAAACATCCTTAAAGAGCTGTGATTCCTATCTGAGGACTTTCGGGACTTTCGACCCCAAATCTGCCAGAGCTGCACTTTCTACTGATTTTTTTTTTAACGTCACTTTTCCACCTGCCCAAAATGTCACCTGGGTACCAAGGCTCTTCCCTTCTACCAAGCCCCAGCAGTAGCCTGCCCTTTGCAAGGACTGTGTGACCCCCTCTCCAGGTACAAGGTCTTACTCATGTGTGTTAATCGTTAAGATGCTGTTACTTGCCCCTCTTCTACCCAGCTCTGGTTTGGAGCCAGACCCAAACCTCTTTCTCCCCCGTGTGCTTGCTTGTGCCCATCCTGCTGCCTCCCCTGGCAGCACACAGTGCTTCCTGAGTTCCCAACGGTGACAGCAGAAACGTTACCTGCGTTGCCAGGGATCCCCCTGAGGATGCCGGCCAGGCTCGGCAAAGCTCGGCGCTTCACCCTCTGCCGCTTCAGCATGGAGATGTATTTGTTCTTTACGTGGTCTGGGATAACCAGATCCACCAAGTCTCTCCTATGAAGTTTAGGGACCTCAGACAGCCTGAGCTGCTTCAGCAACACCTCCTTGAACTCCTCCTGGGTAAATGCTTGGACTGTGATGAGCAGGCAGAGCACACAGAGCATCCCAGTGAACCTCACATCCATCCTCCTCTGCCAGTGAAGAGCTGCCTGCCCAGCAGAGATGAAGGGGGAACGTCCCAGGGCTGCTCTCAGCAGAGATGTGGTGGCAGGCTGCCTGAGCGGGTTGCTAGGGTTTTATAGCCAGCCTCGTCCCACTGGCACAACAAATTCCACAAGTGGGGATGAAGCAGAGAACTTGAAAGGATCACTCCCCCATCAGTAGACACATGCCAGTTTAACACCTTCATCCACTGCAAAGTTAATACAAAACCGTTTAGGGGAGCTTCCAGATTCCTTCATGGGGAAGAAGTTTCCATTCCTTTTTAACTCCCTGTAAGCTTCTGCCCCTGTGTGATCAGTGTTTCATGTTCAGCCTAGGTCAGGGAGGAAACACATCTGCAGAGTACATTGCTTTAGGTACCACACCATATGATTCTTAAAGGAAGCATCAATCTTTACCACAGGGGACTTGCTACCTAAAATATCCAATATCAATCAGGAGAATAATGCTTTAGCTGGAAGTCCATCTTTATGGCAAGCATTAAAAAATCACTTAAAATCTTTTTTGGGGGGGTAGGTACTGCTTTGATCTCTGAATATTTGCACCAAGCTCATGAATCAGGGCAGTGAATCACAGCAGCTGAATGGTTTATGGCCTTTTGCGCTGCTCCTGAATCACAGAAGGTGGAAGATGTACAGGCCTGGCATTTTAGAAAAATGTCCCATCACTCTTTATGGATTCCTGTGGGTTTCATAATACTTGTGCTTAAGAGAAGAAGGCTTTATATAAAGGCAGATCACCTTTCAGTGAACATGAGAAACCACTCTGCTTTTCCACAGCATGGATGAGGAATATCGGTATTTTGAATGCTCTTCAGTCTCTGGAGAGCCGACCTGGAGGCTGGGGGGTGTGTGTGGATGTTTGCCTTGAAGTCAACCTTTAAACTTGAAGCTCACATCATCTGCTTCCCTGGCCTTTGCTGCCATAAGATATGGAAGTCTGCTTTTGAAACAAATCCCAGGAGAAGCACTCTGAAAAAGAATACAATGTGGTTGATGACAGTGTGATGGAGCACAGCACTTGGGCAGATTCTCATCCTCCGCAGCAGTGACATGCCTGAGCATACATACAAATGTCTTCAGCATCAATGTCTCTGTAAATGATTTTAAATTGGTCCCATTTCATGCAGTGTCCAGGCTGAATGGTGTGCCCTGGGAAAAGTCTGGCTGGAGAAACGTGTACAAAAGCACCCCATTGTGGTTTATCCCTCATTAAAACAAGCATCAGCAGAGGCAGCCTGGTTTGCACACAGAGGAAGACAACAAAGTGATCTGAAAGCGCCTAACTAAACACTTGTGTTAGTGATCATTTTGTCTTTACAACCTTGTAAGAAAATTGTCTCCTCAAACATGATAAAGCCTCCATTAGATGTTAAATGGGCACCTTATTTAGTTGAATTGAGCTTTAAGACCAAAATGGAAACATAAGACTACAAACTAACAGTTTGTGCACAGTCCAAGGCAGTATATTCTTTAATCTTCCCCTTTGTGAGCATCTTCCTCTGAACAATTCCGTATTTTCTCCTATATTCATTCCCAAAACACAAATAGCAGTGAAAAATACCCACTTCGTTCGACCACCTTAACTTCAACTCATGTAAAAAATGCCTGCTCTTGAGAATAAGAAGAAGGAAGGGTTTTTTGATGATGTTTTTTATGTCTCTGTGATGCTGTCAGCCCCTTATGAAGGCTCTTCCCTCTGGAAGAAGCACATTACTGCTTTGCATGGGATGAAACCAATGCAGTCACACCATGAATTGCTTGAGGCTTGGGTCACAAACTGCACCTAAGCAATGCTCAGGTGGCTGACAAAGTTTTCTTTAGATCTGCTCTAACTCAGTTCCAGCAGTGAATCTGTTATATTTATACTGTGACAGTCACCTGAGTAAAACTGCAGTTCACAGATTTGTAATGGTTTCTCTGTCATGCCAGAAGACCTGATCCTATAAACCTTTATCCATCCAACTATTCCTCACTCCAGAGAGTGGTCTCCCTGCATAGTGAGGGCTCTTCAAAAAAACATGATAACATGAAATGGAAATGCTCCAGCAGCACTTGGCTTTCCTGGATCCGGACGTGATGTGATTTCTCCTGTGGCTGCTGTCTACTCTACTAGGACTCTTCAATGTCCAGTGTGTATTGGAAGGTGATTTATGGGCTTCACACATAAAATTATTGACCAAACACGGTTGAAGCTCAACTAAGAAGAAAACAGAGGATGTGGATTGTAGGCTTTTCACAGGAGAGTGATTATCTGGTCCAATTGGAGGATTTGCCATTCCCCCTTTGTCACACAAACAAGAAAAAGTCAGGAATTTTATAACAGCTCTTTATGTGTAATGCGTATTAGAACCTGTATGACACATTCAAAATGTCAAACAGGATTTACAGAGGCTGCAAGGGATGAAATATGAGCAACTCCCAGTTTTAATAGAAAACAGTACTTAGGGAAGAGAGAATCTCTCTGTTTAAGCTTTTAATTTAGTTACAATCAGTTCTCAATGACATCTGCCGGGCCTATCTATGCAATGGGGTTTGGTAAATAAATCCAACAGGTTCAAAGAGAAAGTGTGAAAGGCTTAGACTACTTATGTAGCTCTTATTCTGGGATACAAGAACATTTCCAATGTATTTGCAGTATGTCAGTGAGGATCTGAATATTTAATTTTTCAAGATTTGAATTTCCATGGACATAATTCTTCTGTACTGCAACTGAGCTCATAGTAGAACAGCCTTTGTTTGAGCAGTGTGAAAGGCAGCAGTTTTATTGTGCTCCAAGAAATGCCCAGATTTGAGCAACAGGTTTATTGTACAAAGATGGGAGCACATCTCTATGTAGATTTTTGGTCTGATCGTCTTTTGAATCTAGGAGTGTGGAAGTAAAAATAGTAGTGGTTAAGATGCAGGTATAAACTTGCCAAGTTAAGAATAGAATTCAAGTAGATGTTCTGTTTCATATTCTTTTTCAGTCTGAAGCACACTGAGGTTTACATAGCTAACACAACACCACGGAATAGGTCAAGTGAAGTGCTGGGTTAGAGGTTTCAAAGTGGAAGTAAATTGCAGGTGATGCATGAAGTTATGCCCTTCTCGTGCTGCCTCATCAATGCACCACAACAGCCACCAGCCAGTGCTTCAAACTTGATATTCCCACCAGCATTTTAAACCCATGTTACACACCTTTAAGTGGGATTTCACAGGCATCTTTGGCTTCTTTCCTGACTGGTAAAGTCTGTGCTGGTGGTGGAATCCTGTTCCTGCGCAGGGACCAGCCCTGCATCAAGCAAGTCCAGACAGCAAGCATGGAACTCACCAAGCCCACTGCTGGAAAGCCACCCCACTGCCAGCAAACAGCAGCTCCATTTCACTCAGTCTGGGTTTAAGCCTAATTTCTAAACAGTGACCAAGGCAAAAAGCACTTCCATTTCCCATCTCTCAAGCTGTACAGGACTTTTAGTGCAGGATGAGAGTGAGACGTCACTAGGTGCAGAAGACAGTATTCACCTGGCTCATGGGTTAGCCTGCCCTCAGTGCGAGCATGGCTGGAGGCGTAACACAGTGCAACACTCATCGCACCCCAGCAAAGAGGCAACCCTGTACACTGATGTTGCCCTTAGGCAACGAGAAGGGCAGAATATGCCTCACTCCATCCACCCTGTGTGGCTCCAGGGACAATGCAAAACGACTATTGCTAATTCATAGAATCACAGAATGGTTTGGGTTAGAAGGGACCTTAAAGCTCATACAGCTCCAACCCCCTGCCACGGGCAGGGACACCTTCCACTAGAGCAGGTTGCTCCAAGCCCCTGTGTCCAACCTGGCCTTGAACACTGCCAGGGATGGGGCAGCCACAGCTTCTCTGGGCACCTTGTGCCAGCGCCTCAGCACCCTCACAGGGATGAATGAAAATGGCACATGCTTGCTGAAAGATACTGGGAAACCACCTTGCCAGGGCAGTGGCTTTCAGTCCTTCTCTACCTCTAGAGAAGCTGCTCTTCCATCAGGGCATGAACAGCTTGAGCAGTGTGCAGAGCCAGAAGAACAGCACCCAGGACTTTGGTGGGGCCAGCATAGCTCATGAGTTTGCATGTGTGCTCCCTATGGCCTCAGCCTCCTCTGCAAGAATCTGGCATGGAAAAGAGCAACACTCAATGCTGGGTGTTGGCTGCACTAAATCCTTTCTGCTGGTCCTGATTTGTTCCAGAATTTGGCGGTGTTAATTTCTGTGCCAAAAGGCTTTGTGCCTGAATTGCCTGTCCTTACCTATGCATTTCCATGCACCACCCCAGTCCCAGTGAGCATAAAATCATAGAAATGGACTTTACATCTGCATTGTGAACTCTGGCTAATACAACTCTGGGAAACAGAACTTTGTGTCCCATTTCTGAGCTGAACCATGTTTATTCTGACCTGATAGTGCACAGATCTCATAACAAAGACACTGCAACTACAGCCTCTGTCCCTAACATTTTCTCTGCCTGCCAGCTAAGGAGCCAGTTTCAGTAGCAAGTTTTCAATCATTTTCAATCAATCATCTGCTTGAGCTATACAGAAATTATCCAATTCACTTAATCTAGGCTAGGACACAAGCTACTATACTGCAATGCATCCAGTATAGTAAAACCCCCATTTTATTTGAGAGAGATGTTGTAAACCTGGTTTGATCTTGAGCTCAGCTCATGTAACTCCTGGTGCTGTGTATCTTAGACTGCATCGACTTCAGCACGCCTTACACAGGCAGGCTCCTGCTTTTACTCATGGGCTTGTTTTGGTCAACCAGCCCAGACAAAAGGCTGCTTGTTTAAAGAGGAATGGATAAAATGTCCAATGTCCCACCACGTTCTTGGTCAGCTGATGTCAGCTGGCTTGCTCGCAGGGTTTGTGTTGGCAGCATTTGCAAAGTACCAGTGTTCTGGCAGAAAAGAGATGTCCAAGACATTTTTTTAAACAGAAAAGCAAACACA